CTTCAGAATTTAGTCTAAACTCTGCAAGATCATCCTTAACGTTGCCAAGTAAGGAAGAACGTCATAATCTGTTTCCATTTTTCAGTGCAATTCCGTGACAAAGCAACAAGACATGAGAATTATTTTCTGGTTGCTAATAAGAACCAGAAATTTGTCACATGATGTATGGTTTTCCTCATTGGTGGCCAAGCATAGAATAATTGTGAGAATACATGGGAATACATGGGAATAACATATATATCGACATATATAATCAAAGTTCTACATGGAAAATTATCTTCCCTGTTAATGGAGATACACATTGTTTAATTTTGACAGTGTTCACACTGTGGATTTCTTTATAAATGAAATCTGTAAGTAAACAATTGAGAAAAACTGAAATTGTTTGGCTCCTCTGGGATGTGTTATATTTCATGTAGAGAAATAGTGAAGCTTCCATTATTCCTGTATCTTATTCAAAATATAGTAAGAAATGTTAGCAAATAAGTGCAATTTCTAGAGTAGGAGTGATGATAGAGATATTGTTTCACTTTTTGTCATTCTTGTTAGTTCCATTCCACAAATTAACTTAATCTTTCCAAACAAAATAGTTGTGCAAGGTCTATCCACTCATATGAAACTTCACCTGTTCGATAAGCAGTCTTACAGGGTGCTACAAGATATAGCGTCTATACTGAGAAAAGTCAAATTTTGGCAAAGTCCTATCCTGTTTAAATTGAATGTATTTTTACAGACTTAGAGTGCTTGGTACCACACTGACCAGTTGTCATGTGTCCTCCATTTTCTTGATTCAGAGTCCCTTGGAAATAACTGTCCACGACAGAAATACACCTTTGACTTCCATGGTGGTTAGCTAAGACTTCCTGACAGTGACTGTGTAGAGAGGGAACATCTGTAAGGCTTTGGTTTCTTTGACATTCCCTGTCAACCCAAACAAAAACAGACGCTACTTAAAATGCCCACCTTTTAAAGGTGAGGTACATGCTATTTAGTTCTCATCAGTAGAAAGCTTTTAAAGATCTCTTTATGTGGACATGGTGGTATCCTATCTGGCCATATAGTTTATATCACCTTGCTTCTGTTAATATTAACAGTTTCCTGAGTGCCTTGTGACTAAGATCAATATGTAATACTAATAGCTTATAAAGACATTTCAATATAAACTGTATGTGTCTCTTTAAGGATTATTTTAAAATTTGCTTTTAAAATATTTTATTTTTATTTGTATGAATGTATTACCTAGATGTATGTAAGTACACCCATGTCGTGCAATGCTCACGGAGGTCAGAAGAGGATGTCCCCTGGAACTGGAGTTGGGGATGGTTGTTAACTAATGTGGGTGCTGAGAATCAAATCCAGGTCCTCTGTAAGAGTAGCTAGTGCTCTTAACCACTGAGCCATCTTTCCAGCCTCCTAGTCTAAAATTTATTAGTGAGTTGTAGGCCTTACAGTGTTTGGAAAGATAGGTAGTATGAACTTGGGGAATGATGCAGTATTTGAAGTAAAACTTTTTAGATGAATTATCTATATTCATAAATACATTAGAATCTCCACTTAGTTATCAAATTAAGTCTGAGTCTTCATATTATATTTAATTCATAGTTTATTTTATAGATTTATAATACTGAAACAGTTACTGTGGACAAAAATACGATCCTAAGAGCATCTCTTTAATTTTTAACTTTTCTTCATAGCCACATTTATGGCAGCATGAAAATAATCTGTTGTTACTGTTGACTTCTTCTCTGAGTTTCATTGTTCCGCCGAGTATTTGGCAGCTCCATATTAGTTGTAAAACAGATGCATCTTCTGTATGGGTTCATATAGGTTATACAAATTGTAAACTTCGATACAAAAACCAGAATCACAAAAAAATAAATTCTAAATGTCTTAGTCTTTTCTGTTTTTTTTTTAATCTCAATTTCAGGTTGGGTTTTTCTCATTCTTAGTCACAAATGGCAGAAAGCAGTTCCAAATCCTAACTTCATTCTAGCACAGTAATGATATTTTCCAACTGTCTCATAAATTTGTAACATTTGGTAAAAGCGAGACTAGTAGAGCAGAATGTGTCACCAGTGGTGAAGAAAATAGCTGTGATAATTAGTGTGCTTCTTCAAAGGCAAAATTAGTGCTGGAAATTCAGCATAATAATTGAACCAGTCAGCATTTTCTGAGCACCCACAGTTAGCCAGTCTCTATACTGAGTTGTGTGTATCCTTTCCTGTCCTAGCCTTGGGACCTGAAGATATTGTTATCGCTCCCATTTTATAGAGAGAAAGAACAAGTGTTCGAAAGTCTAAATAATTTGGGCATAGTTCAGTAGCTAGAGGGTGAGAAGTTGGTATTAATAACAGGTCTTCTAAGGAATAGGTTTAAGTCCTACCATTAGCTCCACCTCACAGATGAAAAGAATTGAACTTAATGAGACCCAAATCCTGGATTACTCTCAGTAAAGGGGAGAAGCTGGCTTTCAAATGCATGCCCTTCAGACTGTGGAGGCTGTGTAGCATGTCAGTACTTATACTAACTTCTGACAAAATTTAAGTTGTCACCATAGTGTTGGCATTTCCTTTTGTCCTAACAAAATTCAAAAAGTACAGCATCCAGATGTTAATTGGCAAGAAGGACAATTGTTAAGAATAAGATTGATAGCCAGAAATTAGCAGCAAATCTAATTGTGGTGCCTTTCACTTTATTCCTTTAGGCCATCACACCAAAGCAAGAGTGTTGCATGAGAGCAATTTGCTCTTCCTGAGTTTCACAGTGAAAACATTTCCTTAGTTGCTTCAAGTCAGAAACTCAGCTGTATTAGAAGAGTCTCTTTACTAGACCTTCAGTTCCACTAAGTGACCCAGAATAAATTCATTTTTCCAAATTCATATCTGTACATTTTACTCATCATCCATCATGTGCTCTGATTATCATTATTTTTTGCCCTATCTTATACAGTCTTTAGTGTTTAAGGTCTAGCCAAGAGTAATGATCTTTGTACAAAATGTTGTTGCAGGCTTTCAGTTCTTTAAAAGTGATTGAAACTCAAAGTTCCGAGGACAGATCTGAGCCTTAAAAAATGCTTTTGAATTCTACATATAAAATATTAAAAATTGAACAAAAGTATCAGTCCCTAGATTTTCTTTATATGTGAGTATTGTGGGTCACAATAATATATTCTATTCTAGGACACTGAATCTTGGCCAGAGATAGTAGACTTGGAATACTTACTGATTTCCATCACAAGTTGTGGTATTGAATAGTCATTAATTTTATTTTGCAGACCTTTTTTTAAGTGTTCTACAAAAGACAGATGAGGAAACAGAAGTTGTTCCTTAGTGTACAGTCTCCTTATCATGTGGCACACCATTTATAAGTTGAGGAAAACTAATTTATTTGGAAAATATTGTTAATTACAAATCCTAGACAATTACATTAAAACACAAAGTTGAGTTTACAATTTTCTCAAAGCTTCTTGTATATTGCTGTTGAAAAGATAAACTGCACCACTATGTTGTCCAAGGTGGTGTGTGTAACTTTCTACCAAGGACAAAGAAATGGTACCTTCTGCCCTTAGTATGGCTTGCCTTTGAAATAATACCATGTTTGTGTTCTACACAGGCATTCTTAGCCACTCCTGTTGACAGAGGCATAAGCCAAATTCTTTGCTAGCAGACATATTTAATATAATTTTGAAATCCTATTAAAGTGAATAATTGGTAATGACCACAATCTTTACTTTTTACTTTGAACCTTTGCTTTAGCATAAATTCATAACTTTTACAAAAAATGTGATTTAAAAAGTTAAACTATTCATCCTTAAGAGTTTCATTCCTTTTATGTGACATTATTAGGTAAATGTTCTCGTTAGTAATAAGAAAGAAAAACCTTAAATCATACTTCAGACTTTCATTTTTGAGCATTCTCACCACTGTGTCACACATGTAAACACAAAATTCTAAATAACAAAGTTCCATAAGGTGTAGTGGTCCTTCCTCATATGCAGAGTTTTATGAGTGATGTATCACGGCCTTCATCCATTTACATTCAAAAATGAGTAGCTAACATTTCCAACTAATGCCTGTGAATCTTTAAAGATCTCCATAAATAATGAAGCCATTCATTGTGTCCAAGGACTCTGCCTTCTTCACTGATAGGAGTTTCTTCTCATTTGAAAGAGTGTTTAATTGCATTGCTCATCCTTTTAATATTTAATAATAATTTTATTAGCTGTATGAAATGAGAGGCACAAGATTTGTAATATCTAGTGCTGGTCATCAATTTTTTCTTATCATGGCTTAATGAATATTATAATTACAAGGAAAGACAGAAATATAAATTAGCCTGGTAGTTGGTTGCACCTTCCTCATTTAGCGGTTTAAGCTTGGTGAATCCCAGAATAGACACGAGGAAAAGGAAACAAATCCCTAGCAGTGCTTTAGAAGCTCTTGCATAAAGTTTCTGTGCCTTATTGGTGCACACAGGCTTGAAGTGAAGTTCTGTCCACTCTCAATAACAATTCCTGCCTCTTCCATAACAATTGACAGGGGATCTTAACCACTTAGGAAACTTAGTTCTGGAAGGCATACGTTCCTTTAACCACTTTTCATTTCCATTTCTTAAATATTTTTGCTGATATTTTCTCTTTCAACTAAGACAAATACATAGGTTGTTTTAATTGAGAAAACAGCATAGCCATCATCATAGAAGTACTTTAAGTAGCACCTCTCACCTGAGTTTTCAAAGTGCTTTTGAATATATGCTGTTTGGCCTATGGATGGAGGTCAGGAGAAAAGGTGTTTGAGACACAGCATATTTCATGCCTCTTTCGAAGTCTAACCCAGGTCTTAGAGAAAAGGTAATCGTCATCTTTAGCTCTCGATATCGATATGTGTATGAAATGATTCCTAAATTTTCAGTGCCATTTGTTCCAAAATGAAACTAGATACTGTTAAGTTTAATGTGCTTTTAAGCCCGTTTTTAAACAGATCATTTTTAACCCCCTCCAGCAACTGCTTCGAGAGCGACAGCAGATGGCCAGCCGTCCCTTTGCTTCTGTTGATGTAGCACTGGAAGTAGGTGCTGAACAAACAGACTTTCTGCGAGGGCCATTAGAGGTAGGAACAGTGGTGCTGAAAGGGGACCACTGTAATTTACATATTTATATTGCTTCTCTAATCCACATCTGCTTGTAGAGCCACACAGAGTCTGATTATCTGGAGTTGACAAGATTCAGCTACCTATGTTACGGTATTTTCAAGGCATATAGTTTTAATGGTATGACATGAGCTGTAACAAAAGCCACTGGAGAACCTATTAGCCTAGGCAAGAGTGACAGACTGCTCACCTGGCAGCCTTTGCCTGACAGATAGGCGCTGAAGGAATTTAAGATGTAGTTATGATGGGAGAGACAGAGTGCTGCGTTTAGTCCTTAGAGTACCCAGTGGCCTCTTGGTAACACTTCACATCTAGCTTTATTAGCAAAGTTTCCCACAATGGAATGTGAAGATGATATGCATTTTAGTTACATAGTTTTGCTTTTTAATTTGAAAAAGTGCAAAGTATACTGAATATTTGTATTTGTGGAGAATGACTATTATCATATTCCTTTGTTGCAAGTGCAGAGAGTACAATGAAATAGAGATCATAATGTGCAAGTATATGTGACCTTCAAATCCTGAAATGAAGTAAGACTTAATCATCTTCACAAGGAAAAGTCCACAAACTGTGATTAATGATGAATCAAAGAGGTTTGAGGCTATCTAATTTAATTGTGTGCTCATTATTTTATTTATGTTTTATTTGTAGTGATGTGTTGAAGTAGGAGGATTAAGAAGCCCTATAATTATATAAATATTTTATTTCTTTTTTCTAAAAGAATCCCCTTGTTTGGCTAATCATATGTTGTCTCTTAATATTTTTTCTCCAAGGCAAAAAAGAAATATAAAAATAGACTTTATCTAAAACTTAGGTACAAATATAATTTTGTCTATAGCATTTTTTGTTATTCTTAAACAATAAAACTGAATTATACCATATCAATAGTATTGTAGTGTGCAAAGCAGCAGTTTAAGGTGGGACTTGTGTGTGTGTGTGTGTGTGTGTGTGTGTGTGTGCAATATGTGTGTGTGTCCATGTGTACAAGTATGTGTCTTTGTGTGTCTGTGTGTGTGAGTGTGTGTGTCTGTGTGTGTTCATGTTTGTTCAGCTTTTGTATATTTTTTCCTTTAGTCACAAGTTGCCATGGAAACGTAAAACATAAGGAAATTTGTGTGTATATTCCATTACTTGGAGAGAAATTAGAAAGAGACAGAACGGTTAAATGAAGTATATAGCAAATGCTGTAATTTCATTTTAGTCCCTTGTTTCAAATAATATTATTCTAAAAACCTTTAACAAGCAAAAAAATGTAGAACATTTAAATCTAAATCTCTTTTCTCTCTCTGTTTACAACATTTCCAAATGTTGCTAAAATTCAAGAAAGGGGAGAAATGAATGTAAACAAACGTGGGCAAGGCCATGCAAAAGGAATGAAGGAAGTGGGCAACTCACAGAAGATGAAGGCAGAGAGCATGTCTCACAGAGTCTCTGTGTCTTCTTGACAGTGTTCAAGAATGTACCACTAGGTGCTCACATGCTCAGAATCATGTCATCTCCCAGGGTTTTCCCCAAACTTTTATTTCTTTTACATTGTCATTGTTTCTAACCTTAAATCTTCTTTTGTAGCATTTAAAATGTCTACTCTACTTTCTTTAGTTTATCCTTAAAGTACCTATTTTCCATGTATGTTTGCTGGTAAAGCCTTTCAATCTTTTATCTGCATTATCTCTGTGTCCTTGTTTCACGCCAGCTCCTTGTGGAAAAGACCATTAACTTTCCGCTTTCCGATGCGCTCTGAGTCTGTGTTTTGATGGATGTTTACACTGACAAAAGTCACTGTTCTACCAGAACTTACTTCAGCTACTCGGTGTGTGTGTGTGTGTGTGTGTTGTGTAGATATGATTCTTTTTCTTCTTCATATTCATAATCTATTTTTGTGTTTCTCCTAGTACCCCTTATTTATCATGACCCATAGTAATCATTATTTTCCCCTCACAATGTCTAAGCCCTATTAACACATAGTCTTCTTGCCCATCTGAAGCAAATTAATACTGTAATTTGTACATGACTCCCTGTTTTAAAGTAACTGGAAGTTTTGACACAGATATTATGAATGTACTTCTTTATTTCAGCACATTTAAATAACAAAGAATACATTTTCCTTTTTATTTTAGTTGTTTGTGCATGCCTTCATTTCACTATTATAAACCTCAGGTCTTTCCAAAGAAATGTTAATATGGCATTCTACTTGAGAGATTAAACACCCACTAACTTATGTATCTGTTTGTTTTAACATGTAAAGACAGTTTAAATGCATAGAAATTTCTAGGTTCAAAGTTTCCTTCTTTAAAACACTAAAAAATACTGTTCCCTTACATCTTTATTGATGCCAGTTTGATTGTTGTTCTTCTTAGTAAAGTCTTCATTTTCTTAAGAGAAACTCAGAATTTACTCTTGATTCTCAGTGTTCTTACATTTTGCTCCAATGGATGTGTGTGTGTGTGTGTGTGTGTGTGTGTGTGTGTGTGTGTGTTTCTGATTTCTCTCCAAGTGGTAGGAGATAAACAAGAGTTGATAAAATTGCCAAGGCAGCAGTTGTGGTAGGTAGAAGTGAATGCAGTGGTAGGTAGAGTTAAGCAGTGAACTCTTAAGAGTTCAATGGTTTGTAAGCATGGCTGTGAGATCCCTCACCCAGTGCAGCTCTAGAATCATGTTGCGATCAGTCTGGCTTAGCTTTGAACCAGCCTGCTTCTGCTGCTTTCCTGCCCCACAGTAGGTGGTGAAAAGTCAGTGCATCTAAGACAAAGTGACTGTAGCTTTGCTCTCCATGCAGGCTACCACTTCTGCAAGGCTCCCAAAGGCCTGTGCTCTCTCATAGTGTTCTTGAAGACTTTGGAGGCATTATGGAACATCTTTGAGGTTCATCAGTTTTCCTCTCTCTTAACATGTTATCTCCATGTTTAAACTGCAGGAAAAAGACAAGTGACTTTCTGGTCTGCTATTTTATTTGCTGCAAGAACACTGGTATACGTTTTCTATATTCAAAGTATTGTTTTACCATTGTTACTGTGATGATTTCCCTTCTTGTATTATTACTCAGTTCCCTGAACAGCTTGCATGCCTCTCCTCTACTTCTTTTGTACCACTTTTTTCCGAAATTTAGTTTCAAGATATCAAAGAGAAAAAAATTATCCCATTTAGCAAAGCCCATTTTATCTGGGGTTAAGTTCTAACTATGTGTAGCATTTTTAAACTTCATTGAAGTATAATTAATATGACATACAGTTCACTCACTTAAAGTATATACTCGGTGGTTTTTAGTATATGCACAGAAATGCATATAATCATTACTCGGGTTGATTTAAAGCATTCTCATTAGCACTCCCCCACATTTTCCTCCAGCCCTCTTCTCTTGCTGTCTAGCCCTAGGAAACACTAATATACTTCCTGTCTTTATAGATTTTTTTCTATTTTTGGTAGTTTGTATGAACTGAATCATAAAATACATAGATTTCCTGATTACTGTCTTTCACTAAGCATTGCAATTTAGGAGTTCATCTCTGGCATACCTACCTTGTGTTACAACTCCATTTATTTTGTTGTAAACACTATTCCATTGTATATGTACACTGCATTTTTGTTTGATTGAGATAGTTTGCTGTGTAACCCAGGCTAGCCTCGAACATTCAGTCTTCTTGCCTTGGTCTCCTGCCGGGTGAGATTGCAAGTGGGCACCTCCATGCCCAGCTCCACTAGATTTTGTTTACACATTCCTCAATTGATAGGCACTTTGGGGATATTCTGAATAATACTATCATTAATTTGAGTAAAGGATTTCAGTGAGTGTATGTTTACATTTCTTATGTCCAAGATTGGAATTACTAAAACACATAAGCTTTTCACTCCCTGTTGAAAATCAATTAACGATAAATGTGAGAGTTCTCCTGATCTATGTGTCTCTTTTTGTAGCAGTGTCATACTGTCTTGATTACTATAACTCTATAGTAGGTTTGGAATCAGAAAAGACAGCTCTTCCAATTCCCTTCTTCATGAAAAATATTTTGACTCTTCTGGCCCCTTGAATTTCTATGAAAATGTTAGGATCCTTTTCTCAATTTCTACCATGCTGACAGCATTTTGCTGGAGATTGTGCTGGCCTGTACATCCATTCGCAGGGTTGTAGGCTGTGTTTTACCATCCACCTTACCAATGGGGCCATTTTGTTAGTTTCATTCCTTTGTGCTCCATGCTCAAGTCTTAAATTCATCATATTTCGTCCATGTTGGCAAATAATAGGACATCTGGTATTTAAATATTTCTCTGTAGCCAGTGATTTCAAGTTAATTGACACCTTCAAATTAAAAAAAAATTAATTCAAGTTGAAAACATTTGCTATTGAATAGGTATTTTTAGAGTTTAAATTGGTTGTTTACTTCTTCCTGTTAAACATCCAAGTTAATTTTCAACTGCTAACTGCTAATTTCTTCCTTTGACATCCTATACTAAATAAGAGAGGTAGAAATAAAAATTTTTAATTATGCTTTATCTCCTGCTTGCTATGTACTTTGTAATAATTGATACTGATTGGAAGCTATCTAAATAATATGTGTGTGTGTTGGTTTTCTTATCCTTGTTACAGAATACTGAAACCTATCCCAAATAGCCCCTTTTTTTTCAAATACATAACAGTATGATGTGGTATATTGATTTGCTTACTTGGCAAATTCTGAAATCACATTAAGGGTTTTATATAAATCTAAAAGTCATATATTTTTTTAAATTCAACACAAAGCCACAGGTTAGCTGGCTATTGTTATGCAAAAAATATTGACTGTTCATAATACGGTTAGTTAAGCAATGGGTTTCTCTTAAATTCAACTCTTATGTGCACACTTGAATTTCACATCTGTACAGTCAGGGGAAAATGTAAAGTGTAATAAGAAATGAATGACCTTTATTCATCCATAGCAGTTGTGCATAGTGATACCTCAGAATTCTGTGACGTAGATGTGCCTCT